TTCCATAACTCACTTTTTTTATATAAAATCTATATAAAAAAGTGAATCGCAATACTGCAACTCACTTTTATTATATAAAATCAATATAAAAAAGTGAATCGCAATACTGCAACTCACTTTTATTATATAGTAAAATCAATATTTTCAGGTCAATACCTGACCTGAATTTTTTTCAAAAATCTCATACCTGATCTGAATTTCAGGTCAGGTCAGGTCAGGTTACCTGAATTTAGCTGACCTGTTCGGAGCTCTAGCAAGAATATTCACCGATTATTCTATTTTTTATTATTAGATTCAAAAAGATTAATTAATAATTAGTTAATGCTTTAGTTTTGCAATAGCTAGAACCACTTGGAAAGCTTGTAAATACTTATCTTTGATAGGGTTTCTATGATCGAAAAGTGATAGGTACATAAGAAATAAATAATTAAAGAAAAAATTATATAAGCAAGTAATAGCGTGACGGTTAGAGCTAACACTATGGTTAGAAAAACAAGAAGTGATAAAAAAGATATAATCTGTAAACATTGTGGTCATGAATGCTCAACACCCCAAAAACTTCATGAGCATCTTAAGCGAAAAAATCCATGCAAACTATTAGAAAAGCAAAAGGAAGTAGCTTCTATTCAAATACCAATTCAGGTGCCAACCAACAGGTTATTCAAGCTTCTGAAATTAAAGCACAGGTAGAAAGCTTTAGTGTAAATATGAGCAACAAGAAGAGGCCACATGTAGTAATCCCAACTCTAGTTCCTGAACTAGAACCTGAAAAGGAAGTTCCAATACTTAGTGTCAACTACATCACTGAAGAAGAAGCAAAAAACTGGGACAGTCCAAATGCTCAAAAACCAATAGAGCGTATTAGAACATGGGCACAAGATTACAAAAATGTTGGAGAGAATTAGATCTAGTAGGTATTGAACCATATAAGGCAAATGATCTAGATGGTTGTAAGACCCTTTTCCATGATCTTGAACTAAATGATCCAGAGGCAATTTGTCTACTGACATTAAAAGAGTTAGAGTCTGAAGGCAGTTCTAAACCTAAAACACAATCATTTAGAAAAAGTAATAAATCTAAGAATTTGATTAATAAAGAATTTGAGCGTTTAGAAGAAATTAAGGGGCATGAAAAGTTCAAGAAGGATTTAGAATTTAAGGAACAAGAAGAATTGTAAACTGCGGTTAAAAGAAGAGCTATAGCTGTACATTGTGCAAAAGTTTCCAAATCCCATCCAGATAATGGAAATGATATATGAAAAATATTAGAAAGCTGAAGAAAACAGTTTAGAGAAATACTTGAAAAGGAATTCGATAAGCATGAACAATTTAAGTTCGCCCTATGTTCCCTTACTAAATTTCTTATAGATGATAAATCTGGGAATGAAAAACAGGAAAAAAAGAATTTACGAACTGACTGGCTTAGAAATAAACAAATTATAGTTTATAATAAAGATGAAATAAATGATTACTTAAGCAATGTATGCTTTTGAATAAATCCTATACCAAGTGGAGGAAAGAAGAGATAAATCTAATGTTTGAGAATATATTTGGGAAGTAATACTGTGTCTGGTGAAACAATTTGTAGTTCTTCTCTTACAAATGAATGTCTAGCACTAGTTGAAAAAGGAATATTTGGCCTTAGTAAAATTCGATCTATATTTGACTAAAATTAAAAATTTGACCTTAATTAGCAATGATCTATGATTAGACATTGGTTGAATAACTAACCATACTGGTCGAATAACCACGTTATGCGTTATATGTATCAAAAGTTTAAAAAAGAATCTTATGCATTCTTTTTTAAACTTTTATTCTTTCTTTTCCTTGTCCTTTGGCTCTATAGGCGCAGAAAAAAACAAAAAAAATTATTTTATTTTATTTTTTTTAAATTTTAAATGTGGTCCTTTCCTTTTTCGTAGTAATTCTATGGGAATGCCGGTCAAAACTACGTACCAGACTTTGGATAATAAGGTAAATGGAAAGAGGAAGTCATTTTTTTTACTTTAGAAACGTTTTAATGTTTCTTTTTTCTTTTTCTTGTAGGTATTGCTAGACGAAACAAGCTTTGTGATAATAAAAAAACTAAGATTCGTAAGTAGAATCTTAGTAGTTTTTTTTTTAATATTATAGAATGGTTAGGGCAATGACATATATTAGCTAATATTTTAGGGGGTGGAAGAGTAAAAGAAAATCTTAGGTTACATATAATATAAATCATGTGAAATGGTTGTGATTGGTCATAAAATCTTACCTGGGGTGGGGGAGTAAACGTTACTATTAAAATAATATTAGCTAATATATGTAGGGTTCCACAGAATATCTGATCTAATTTGAATCCGTGAATCGGATCTGAATCAGATCTGGATCAAATCATTAATTTATAATCCGTAAATCTAATCAGACTAAAAAATAATGATCTGATCTGAATTGGATTAGATCTAAATCAGATCTGAATCACATTTTGAATCATTTGAATCAAGCAATAATAGCTATCTGAATATTTTTTTTAATCCAAGAAAAGTGTTTTATTTAACATTTTTTAAAATTTTTTAACAGAAATAACATTTTTTCTTTAGAACTCTTAAAAAAACCAATTTTTCTTCACTGACTCTTTAAAAAAAGGGTTTCTGTAAAAAATGAGAAGGAACGTCACGGGTCTAATGATGACAAATTGGCAACCAATCAGGTGCCAATAGCCTTTCTTATTGGACTTTGATAGAATGGCGATTGGAGAATATTAGACCATTTTCATGAATGCCGATTGTGGTCAATTAATGGCGCAAATCAAGATAAAATCAGAATGCAATATTGGCATCAAATAGGGGAACTAATTTATATATATCAGAATTTACCGATAATATTAAATTGTTAAAATCGATTGCATTTAATAAGTAAATTTATATAAATATATTGCTCAAATTTATTTACATTATAAAAAACAATTAAAATACTAATTTAATATATTAAATGTCCTAAAATATATAATACATAAAGTATTACTCTCAAAACTTATCATCCGATCTAAGAGAACCTACAAAAAGAAGTAAAATGAAACGTTAGTAACGTTTCTTAAAAAAAATTAAAGTTTTGAAGTTTCAAAGTCGAAACTTACCGATCAAAAGCCCAAAAGAAGCCGACATCTAAAAAAAAGAATAAAATTACATCAGTAAGTTAGGTCGGCATAAATCATTGTATTGAAAAGCACTGTAAAATTCGGCGCATTGATCATTGCAATGATTTATGCCAACAAAATACTAAACAATGCACCGATTATTCAGTGCAATGATCATTGTATTGGAAAGTGCATTGATTACTGTGACATAATTCAGCACCTTGATTAGTGTTAAAAGTTTCTCTTATACACATCTCGCGTGAAAAGCTACCTAGTGAAAAATTGCAAAAATTTGAAAAATTTATCAATGACAAAGCACATGTAGTTATGAGTTCATATAAAACAGATAGTAAAACTGGTGCACCAATAAAATACCTTCGTGATACCAAACAAGCCCTCTGGGAAAAATTTCATGCCGAATTTCCTAACGGAATTCATCGTACAACCTTTATGACAAAATTACAAGGAAATGAATATATATATCNAAAACAAAGTTTTGAAAAAATGAAAATTTCAAAACTTACCTGATCCAAGTGAAGGGTCTCGCCAATACCTAAAAAAAGAATAAAAAAAATATTAGAAAAAAGGTTTTTAAAGTTTCGAAAGAACAAGAACGAAACTTTCAAAACTTAGAAACTTATCCAATCCAAGTGAAGAGTCTTGCCGATACCTAAAAAAGAAATAAAAAAAAATATTAGAAAAAAAATTTTTAGTTTCGAAAGAACAAGAACGAAACTTTCGAAACTTACCGATCCAAAGTGAAGAGTCTCACCAATATCTAAAAAAAGAAATAAAAAAATATTCGAAAAAGTTTTTTTTTTTAAAAAAAAACAAAGTTTCGAAAAAATAAAAATTTTGAAACTTATCCGATCCAAGTAGGGATGGGGACGATTCCATCAGTTCGGTTCTGGTTCTGCTGAGCGGTTTAACCAGTTTCGAACCAGTTCGCTCAAAAAACGGTTCTGAGCAGTTTCAGTTCGGTTATGCGGAACAGTTCTAGTTAGTTCGAATCTGATGAATGGCTATGATAATTCTGGCCAGAATCAAACGATCTGCATGAAAATTTCCTTCTTTGAATTTTGTGTAACTCAATTTCCATTTTTTATAAGGAGTTGAATTTCCTTTTTTGGATTGTATAACATCACGTAATCGGTTTAACTGAACTGAACCGCAGTTCAGTTTAAACTGGTTCACGATTTTGGTTCAGTTCTTGGTTCTGAACCAGGTTCGAACCGCTCAACCGGCGAACTTCCCCATCCCTAGATCCAAGTGAAAGATCTCACCAATACCTAAAAAAAGAATAAAAAAAATATTAGAAAAAAGGTTTTTAAAGTTTCGAACGAAATTTTCAAAACTTAGAAACTTACCCAATCCAAGTGAAGGGTCTCGCCGATACCTAAAAAAAAGAAATAAAAAAAATATTAGAAAAAGTTTTTTTTAAAAAGAATAAAGTTTCAAAAAAATGAAAATTTTGAAACTTACCGATCCAAAGTGAAAGTTGAAGCCGGTACCTAAAAAAAATTTAAAAAGCATTAGAAAAAAAATATTTTTTTTTAAAAAAAAGATTCAAAAGAAGAATGAAACTTACCTATTCAAAAGAAGGGTCGAAGCCGATACATCATACATACCTAAGAAAAAAAGAAAAAAAATTAAATTTATTATTTTAAAAAAAACAAATAAGTTTCGAAGTACAGTTATAACTTGATATAACGATTCGGGATAAACCAATTTTGGCCCATAACGAACTTTTTTCTTAAACCAAAACCATCTATAATTAATTATATCACTATATACCGACTTTATTATAAATTTCGCGATATTACATATAGTGCAGAACCTCTATACTCAACTACTTATGTATAGTAACAATTGATTGATTATAAATTCCTAAAAAAAAATTTTTTTATATTAAAGTAAAAAATTTAACCGATAATTTTTATAGATATGACCATTAGCTTTAAAAATTATCAGTTATTTTTTTTCTAAATTAAATTTTGGCTGAGTTTTAGCTGTTTAAAAATCTGTAATTTAAATATATTGATTAAATTTAGTCAAAATTGAGACTAGTTTAAATTTTTATATTACAGGTTTTTTTAGCCACATTTAATGTACAGATTTTTTTTTTAATATGCCAAGAAGAAAAAAAATTTTAAAACTGCAAAAAAAGATTTAATGAATAAGGTTGTTTAAATATAAGTCAATTTAATGTTATAGATGATAATTATATAC